ACACAGCACACACACACACAGTGCAACATACACGCACATGTACACACACACACACACACACACAACACACAGCACACACACACACACACAACACACACATACACACACACAACACTACAAACTACAAACTACAAACTACAAACTACACTACACACTACAAACTACACCACACACACACACGCACACACACTATACACACACACACACATGTGCACACACACACAACCACACACTCACACACGTGCACACACACGCAACACACACACACACACACACACACACACACACACACACACATACATACACACACACATACACACACCACACCACACACACACACCAACACACACACACGTGCATGCATACACGCACATGTGCACACAACACACGCACACACACACACCACCACACACACACACAACACACACACACCACACACACATACACACACACACACCACACACACACACACACACACACACACACATACACAGTGCACCACACACTACACACACACACACTTGTGCACACCCACACACAGACACAACCCACACACACCACACACACTGCACACACAAACACACATACACACGTGTGCACACACACACACACACGTGCACACACAAACACACATACACACGTGTGCACACACACACGTGCACACACACACATGTGCACATACACACGCTTGCACACACACACGCACACACACACATGTGCACACACATACACAACACAAAAGNTAATAATAATAAATAAAATTAATTTAATAATAATAATAATAGTAATTAATAATAATAATAAAATAATAATGATAATATAATAATAATATAATAATAATAATAACAATAATAAATGATAGCAAAACAACAAACAACAACAATAATATAATGATAATAATAATAAATGATGATATGATAATAAAATATAACAATAACAATGATAATGATGATGATGATCAAATAAATCTTGATGATATGATGATATTGATGATAACAAAAATAATGATAATAATAATAACAATACTAATGAGGACAATAATTGCAAGAAAGATACGAACAGAATAAAGAATAATTACAACAAGGAAGAACAAGAAAAAAACAAAAAAAAATAAAAAAACAAAAGAACAAGACAAAAATGAGACTAAGCATACGAACAAGAAAAAAAAAAAAACGAGAATGACAACAAAATAACAACAACAACAACAACGCACGAACACGATAACAACAATAAAGTCAAGATAATAACAAATCTCATAGACACACGCGCGTGCCTAACCGGGAGAGATCCTCACCTGCTGAACTAACAGGTAATTAATCAAATCTAATATCCAAACAAGGATAGAAATCCATCGCATATTATTATTATATTATCCATTAGACGAGTCGACGAGGTTATAAGCTGGATTGAGTGTAGATAAACGAATTCCCTGATGAGATGAAGGGATGGGAACGAAGGAGTGGGAGGAAGGAAGAGAGGGAGGGAGAGAGAGAGAAGGAGAGGGAGGAGGGGGGGAGGGAAGGGGAGGAAGGGGAGGGAGGGAGGGAGGAGAGCGGGGAGAGTGGTTGGTGTGGAGGGAAAGAGTGATAGGAAATAGAGAGAGAGAGAGAGAGAGAGAGAGAGAGAGAGAGAGAGAGAGAGAGAGAGAGAGAGAGAGAGAGAGAGAGAGAGAGAGAGAGAGAGAGAGAGAGAGAGAGGATGAGATAGATAGATAGATAGATAGATAGATAGATAGAGAGAGAGATTAGAGAGAGAGAGAGGAGAGAGAGAGAGAGAAGAGAGAAGAGAGAGAGAATGAGCAAATGAGAGAGAAAGAAAGAAATACCAAGACACAGAAGACCAAATATCAAGTCCCTTGTGCCCCTCCGCGTGAAGGGAAGGAGGAGAGAGAGGATCGCACGTTAAAGGAAGCAGGGCGAGGGAAAGGGAGAAGGGAGAGGGGAGAAGAGGGGAAGAGGGCAGGGTGCGTTTGGCGATCACCCTGCTGTTAGCTCTTATGATTACAGGATCAACAGGGCCGCCACTTGAGCGTTGGTGAGCGCGAGAAGGGAGGGAGGGAGAGGGGAGAGGGGAGAGGAGACGGGAGAGGGAGAGAGGGGAGAGGGGAGAGGGAGGGGAGAGGGAGGGGGAGGAGAGGAGGGGGAGAGGGGGACGCGAAGAGGGGAGCCTATCGTGTTGCTTCCATGGCGACGCTACTCTCGCCGGCGATCAGCGTGATTGAGGGGGATCAGCTGGAGAGAGACGGTATTATATATATATATATATATATTATATATATATATATATATATATATATATATATATATATATATATATATATATATATATATATATATATATATATAATATATATATATATATATATATATATATATATATATATATCTATATATTATATATATATTATATATATATATATATATATATATATATATATATATATATATATATATATATATATATATATATATATATATATATATTATATATATATAGTGGT